TACCTCTGATGTCAACTAAAGATGCTGAAATTAGGGACCAGCAGATGGCATAATGGTTGCGTCGATGAATTCCCATGTAGTCAACTACAGTTCAAGTCTCAGACTCAGCATCTTAAAACTCACACTGGGCACGTGTGTGTGCAAGCCCAAAATCCTGAGAGGAGAATGGCCATTCCCCTAGGGGAGTGATTTCTTGCTTTCTGTCTCTCCAGTGAGTGCATGCAGCCTATGGAAAAAATCTTTTTCTCTCAAAAAAAAAAAAAAAAAAAAAAAGGCAGATAATGAAATTATAAAATTCCAGATTTTTTTATTCCAGATTTTTGCCTTGTTTTAGAGACCACTCTTATTCATAAATAATCCATAAAAATACAAATAAAACTCAAATACATAAGCAGCTGAATAAAGTTAAGAGCATCTAAAACATATCAGCCAGTCATATATGGACTGAACCATATTTAAGTGTACCTCTGCATAGTTAGCTATAAGTCATATACTATACTGTCTTCTAATATAAGGTCCTCGTAAGATATTCTCAAACATCCCTCCTCTCCTTGCACAGTCTTACTTCTACTGTGTTTTTCTATGCAAAAATGCATAGAAAATAATGACCCAAAATAATGCACACACACAGTAAACTATTTTTCCTTTACACAGTCTTTTAAAAGAAAATACATTTTATTTTACTTCCATTTGTTTCATTTCTAGTCCTCTTCATTTATTTGTATAGATCAAAGATTTAGTTGCCCCGCATGAGGAATTTCTTTTAACATTTCTTATACAGCAGATCTACTGGCAAGAAGTTCGCTCAGCTTTTGTTTCAGATTTTTATTGTGTCTTTATTTTAGAAAGGTATTTTTGCTAAACATAAATTCCTGGGAGGATCAGATTTTGTTCCAGTGTACTTTAAAGGTGTCATTAAACTGTTTTCACTTCTCTGCTCTCTTGTCTTTGTTCCTCTGAATACAACTTTTCCTTTTCTTTGGCTACTACTTTCAAGATTTTCTCTTTGTGCTTTGTTTTTATCAGTTTGAGTATGCCTAAAATCCACTCTATGTCTAGAGTGGGTTGGTTTTTTTTTTTTGGCAGGGGGTGGGGTAAAGGAAAAACGTATGAGTGGGTTGGTTTTTTTTTTTTGGCAGGGGGGGGGGGAAAGGAAAAACGAAACCTACTTGACTTTCAAGTTTCTTGTATCTATGGTTTGATGTCTGATGTTAATTTTGGAAAATTCTTTTTCCCACAGTATGTCTTTTGCTCTGTTCTTTCCCTTGACCTCCCCGACCAGAAGTTCTAATTAAGCATATATTGTTTGATATTATCTTCAAATTATTAAAGAGATGATTGCTATAGAATATGTGAGCTCACCAGAGAGACAGAAAGCAAGAAATCATCCACCAGGGAGGATGGCCATGCCACAATCCCTTCTCTTTCATTCTCCTCTAAGGATTTTGGACACACACCCACACATGCACCCAGCATATATCTGAAGCCATCAGGTCCCAGACTTGAACCGCAGTTGGTAATGTGTGAGTCCAGCGATGTAACCACCTTGCCACCTGCTGGTTCCAAGTTCCTGGTGTTTTTTAATGTGTTTGTATCTGTTGGGTAATTTCTATAGACCTATCCCTAAATTCACCAATTCTTTCCCTCAGTGTGTCTAACCTACTCAAGAGCCCAGAGGCATTCTGCATGCCTTTGTGGTGTTTTTCATGTCTAACATTTTCTTTTGATACTTAACAGTTTCTATTTCTATGCTGAAATTACCCATCTGATCTTGACTATTACACACTTTTCTGTTCCAGCCTTCAACATACCACAGTGTTTTAAAATTTTCTGTTAGGTAATAGCATCTATATCCACCTGAGCACAGTGCGGATGATTCTTTTTTTGGGGAATAGTTTTTATTTTTCCGTTTTCAAATGCCATGTAATTTTTTTGTTGTTAAAAGTTGAAAATGGGGCCAGCCCATGGCTTGGTGGTTGAGGTGGCTGGATCTCTCATGGCCAACTACACAGTTTTACTCCTAGACCTAGTGATTTGAGATAAACAAAAAACACAGGACACAGCATGCATGCATGCCCAAAGTCCCAAGAGGATACTAGAGAAGGGACTGCAGTATGGCCATCCAGGAGGGGCTTTTTCGCTTCCCTTCTCTAGCTCACTCTCTCCAGCAAGTGCAGGCACCCTTCGGCCAAATTTTAAAAATAATAAAGGAAAGCTGGATGTATTATGTAGGACAGTAGAGACTGGGATGAATAATTTTTATGGCATGACATGTGTAAACCTTTTCTCTGTGAGGTCTTTAGTGCAGGACTGATCTACTTGGCAGTTAAACTAAGTTTATGATCTGTTATTACGGTTGTCTCATCAGTGTATCACAGGCTCTCCTGATCTGGTGAGCAGCTTGTTTCTACAGTGGGGTAGTTCACATGAGCAATGTCTGATTTTCTGTTGTGCCACTCTGCATAGCCTTGTTCCTTTCCTAGTAGTTATTTGAAGGTTCTTAGTTTAGCGGCAGGGCATGGGGAAAACGCAGGCTTCTGATGAGGGTTTAGTCTAAATCATAAACTATATCCCTGTGCTGCCTCTTCAGTTTCCTCATCCTTCCCTGGCTGTGGTTTTGGGCTCAGGGCACCTCCCGCAGACATAAGATTCTCCCCCCTTTCTCTGTCTACCAGCTGCTCAATGAATGTTTAGCAGGGCCAGAAGAAAGGCCCTCTTCCTCAGATTCAAGCTTTTGTTCCACAAGAGACAAAAGGGGAAGAATCAAAGCAGAATTTCCTGTCCTCTTGAAAGTTCTGTTGTTCTACTCTTCCAGCACTCTCTCCATTATTTTTTTAAATAGTATACCCAGTGAGGTTTTCCAGATAAAGGACTTGCAAGAAAGTGTACTCAGTTTCCACCAGTTTGTCTGCTACGTCAGAATTCTTATTACCAGTGTTCAGTTGTGTCTAATGGAGGCAAATCTGAATTTATATCTATGTTCTCTCTGCAAGCCCTGTCTCTCCTTAACTTTTAGGCCAGTAGTTAGTCTATGACCTCAGCTCTTTAGTAGGTTTCAAAAAAAAAAAAAAAAAGTCATAAATTTGAAGTTAGTCTAGTTCTTTTTTATTGTAAAAGTGAAAGCAAGGCTTCTTTTTACCCCAGGACCAAAGCAAAAAGCTGATTACATTATTTATAAACTATTTTAGGATTCTAAAGGAGGTGTTACAAATTATTTGTTATAAAAAGGAACCTTTATTGGGTCTTACAAAGTTGAGAAATGCTGATTCAAAGGATCTCTCAAAACAACTCTTCAAATGCTGCCAAACATTACAGTGAACATTTAGGCCAAAATCTTTTAGAAGTAACCAGTTCATCTGCAAAAGTTTGTTTCTATTTCACCAAGTATTACAATCAGAGAAAAAGCGTCTGTGCAAAAGAAACCTCAAATCCACCTGTGTAAAGTAACCTAGAATAATGAGCCAAATTAAAATACATCCTTTTTTTTTTTTTAAAGAGACAGAGAAAAATATATAGAGTACTTGCACTCACCAGAGACACAGAAATCACCCATCAAGGGGTTTGGCCACGCCACAACTCCTTCTCCTCCATTCTCTGCTCAGGATTTTGGGCATGCATGTACATACATCTGGCCTGTTTTAAGCCAATGGGTCTGGGGCTTGAACTGTCGTTGACTGCATGGAAGTCCAGCAACATAACCATTATGCCATCTGCTGGTCTCCAACTCTACTATCAACCTTCTTATAAATTTAATAAAGTCAGAATTGTTAGAGCCCACCTGGCCAATTAGCTTCTATTTATTTATTTTTGGATAAAGTTAAATTCTTACAAATAAACTATACTTTCTATGATTCTATTTTCACCAATTCTAGTTTCCAGAATTCTGGGTTTGTTTGTTTGTTTTTTTTTCTTTTTAACCTTTACTTGTTTTTTACTGATGACGTTCGTATATTTTATTTACTTTTTGGCTTAAGTACTTTGTTTGCAACTGACCTTGCTAACACTGTAGGACTATCATATATTTTAAGCTATGTATTACTATCACTTTAAAAAAAGAGTATCCATTGCTTGTTAGTGAAATACAAAGGCTGATATTTTCCATGGAAAGAACTCTAGCCTTAAGGTTCTCTTTTCCTCCCTGAATATATTCCACTTCCTGTTTTCATTATATAAGGAATATAATGCAACATTTTCTCAATAAAGATTTATGTTCCCTGAATGTGTTATCCCATTAAGCGCTAAAGCCAAGTTTGAAATACAGCCATTTAAACAGTTTCACATTGTATCAAAAATGTTAACGAGATTTTGTAACATGCTAAATTAAGTCAAACAATAAAACACTTTTCAGAAACCAAAGTATTGTGAAATCCAGAGTACCGAATTTCTGACAAATAGTTTCTATAACTTTCTTTAAAAAAAGAAAAAGACAAGTCATATTTCATACTTCCCATAGACCCACAGGGTAGTAGTAATATACTACAAAACCTAACCAGCGCAATTTCCTCAAACCCTGCAGATGGTACTTTCAAACCTAGAAGTCCAGTCCATAAACGGAGACCGAAGATACGGTAGACTGTCAATCACCGGGGCCTGGTCCTAAACAAACAAGCTAAACCTTACTTTTCTGAGACACTAGAACCGCAAAAGCCTCAAAGTAACTCTGCAGCACCAAGCCCTCCAGAGGGAATGGCAGGAGCGCAGGTGAGGCTCCCTGGGCGGGATCGGGGAGCACAGGGCAGGGAAGATAAAGGAAGCAGAGACCGCCGTCACGCTGGAGGGAGGTCTTCGTTTCCGTCCTCATTAAGCCAAGATAAAGGGAACAGTCTCACGACAAGAGTGGTTAACTGAACACTTTACAATTAGGGGTAACTTAAGACACACTCTTAGACCGAGCAAGTCTCAAACGCGTGTTAGACGCCACCCGAGCGTCCGCTCCGACTTCGCCCCCTGGCAAGGCCCACGCAGAGTCAAAGGCCAGCAGCCGCGGAAAGGCCACTTACGGAAAGGGAGAGCGTCGAGGGAA